AACCACACGGCCATGTGCGGAGCGCTGGGATATACGTGCGCCGTCTACAACCCCTGGGAGCCGCGCCGCTGCTTCTCCCACCACCCCCTGGTGAAGGAAGGGAAAGAGAGCTTCGCAAGGGGACACGTTCTCAAGGTACTGTAGCCGCTTGCTTCATGCTTGGATATGTAACCCTGCCCTGTCCAGGCCTGGTCTCCCTCATGTGGAGGCGGCAGTGACGGCAGCGACCCTTGGAGAAGTACAGGAATTCCGCGAATTCCACGAAGGCCCCCGCGGGTTCGAAAGAGTGCCGTGGACTATCGTGGACTGGAAGTTTCCTTCGTAAACTTTTGCACTAGAGGAGTCTGGTCCAGGAGCAGATGTTTTCTCTTGTTAGCTTTATGGCCTCACTTGAAAGTGCAAATTGCTGCACGATACTGCGCGCCACGACTCCTCAAGCATTTTGGAAGTCCAGGTGCCGCGGACTGGCTTGGGCTCCACCAGGATTGCCAGGAGGGCCTGGAGAGCCAACTGCCCCAGACCCAACCCGAGATGACGCGCATGCTCGAGTGCGCGGGTGTGGCTTGGGGCCCCGTCGCTGGAGAGGACTACTTCGAAACCATCTCCCTGCTGCGTGCAGTCACGAGCGCCACCAGCTTCACAAACTTCGTGGTGGTGGAGGTGGGCTCCGGGATAGGCTACTGGGCACCGAAAGCTGCGAAAGCCTTCAGGCGCCGATTCCCCCACACCGGATCTTGCCATGTTGTCCTCATCGAGTCTCTGATAAGTACTAGAATTGGGGTTATAAGTGCCCTAAACCCACAACCCTAAACCCTTCTGCTTGGGGTGATATCTAAGGAGTCTCTGGTGCCCACAGCGTCGGCAGCCGCTAATCTCCAGCGCAATGGTATATATGAGCTTTGCAATGTCACTTTCTACCAGTCAGCTGCAACTGCCCAACTACTGGACAGCCTCATCCAGTCTTTTGGGGCCGTGGACCTTGTGCATGTGGACATCCAGGAGGCCGGTCGGAGAAGTATGCTCAGGTTGTAGCGTGTCACTGCGTCATACAGCATGTAGCCTTAGCCTTTGGTGGCGGGACAAGTGTGGCTTTGGAGGCAGAGCTGGAGCTGGTAAAGCGGAGCATCCTGTTACCGATGCTTGGGCTGCAAACTTCGCAGAACTTAGTTCCGGGGCGGGCAGGAGTGGAAGAAAGTGGAGGAGTGCCGTCGTAGACTTGGTAGACCCATCCTTCACTCACCACTGCCCCCCTGGCCTTTCTGAAGGAAGGTGCAACACCTCTTCATTGGTACACACGGGCGGCTCATACACCGGGAGGTGCGGACCTGGCTCGTGGCACACGGCTTCTCCCTGGACTTCGACTACGTGGGCAAAAGCTTCCTGCCGACAGCCTATGGCCCGGTCGTCTTCGGCGACGGGGTCCTTGCCGCAAGAAAGAAGGCTTTGGACTGGTGATGGCCGGTTCCGCAGTCTCCTGGCTCAGCACAAGCGCGGCGGACATTTACACCTCATATCTAAACAGTCAAATCTGAAGCTGTGCGTCATCAACCTTCCCGCGAGGCGCCGGACTAAGACCCAGCCCTTGGGTGTCGGACTGCACCGTGCAGTTTCGGCTTGTGGTTTGGATATGTCCGCACGTCTTTGCCATTCCCTGCATCTTGCCACGCTGCTGCTCTTGCAAAGACTCTGGATTGAAGGCCACGCGTCAGCATGATCATGCAAGTAGTCTTCTTCAAGGTTAGTCGCTGCCTGAAATTGGGCTATCAAAGGCTACCTTGATACCAGCTCTGTGTTGTGCAAAACATGCAAATTCGTGAAGGCTCGCATGGCTCGCTTGCCTCTATTTGTGCGGACATGTCTTCGTTGTTGGCCGAGAGCCAAGTCTGAAGCATGACTATCTTCCCCCCCCTCACTCTCTCTGTTTCTCCATCTCTCCGAGATAATATTACAGAGGGACGGGATTCGTCTGACGCTTTGTGCCAGAGGCATGCCCTGAGCACTCCCATCCTGACTTGTGTAAGAAGCTACGCTACTTTCCACGACTTGACAAACTGCGATTCGCATAAGCAGCCATGAAATAGCATGAAACGTTTACTCGATGTCTTCCAAATGTGTTTAAACAAATGGGTCTAGATATCCATTTTCAAGCTCTGTTCATAAAGCTCTTGATGAGATTAGGTTGAGTTCGGTTTCGATTCTTTGAATTTCGTTGCAGTGTGTTCTGTCCTCCAAGTCTGTTAGTTGTCAACCCTTGCCTAGCCGGGCCACAGCAGTCCCGGAATCAGGGTTCCAGCGAAGTCTCGTCGCAGGGTCCCAGGGCGGTCCCAGGAAAATGCCCCAAATTTCGGGGGTCCAAGGAAAGTCTCAGTGTTTTTCAAGAGAAGAAAAAGATATCATTAAGGGCCTGATTGTATTGGCTTTCGTTCATGTACCCTAGTATCTTTAGCCCCTAATGCAACAAGTACTTTGGCCTTTGAGTACTATACTTTTGTTGAAGCAAATCTGCTAGACATGAGTTTGATTCATATCCCTGAGGCAAATGCAAGTAAATAGACTGAAGGGGTGACTGGTTGACATTTCAATCCCGAAGAAACTTTCTCAGGCATCTTCAATGCTAAAATCAGTTAACAAATCACGACAAGTTGCCAACTCTAGTTTGAGCTTTTGTTTACCGTTGACATGTTCTGGTAATGCTGGACAGTTGCTGGCACACAGCCATTTTCCACAGACGTTTAAGATCAGATTACCAGCCGATGTTTCCCGGTAGTTTTGCGTGGAGATTCTTTGTCATGATTTGTCATGTTTGTTTCCAAAGAAGCCATCTCTATGAATCGGTTTCACGGACATGTAGTGCTGGAACAGGCTCAAGACCGCAGCAAATCTGTGGTTTGTGAACCTCAAACCTTCCAGAGATGGAAACCAAGATCCTGGACTGGCGACATGTTGCGTGTGTCTGGGTTTAGCTTAGTGTACGTATAGATATCACGTTGTCACAGGCACTTTCGGCACTGAGTGTACTATAAGAGGAGTTGCAGGACGTAGATTCGGAGCTGCACAGCCCGGGCCAAAGCACGTGCTATCGAGTTGCGAGGACTGCCCGACTTGGTGTTGTGGACCGTGCGTGCATCAGGCTCTGTCCTGTCCAACATTCAGCTCCGAAGCGGCGCCTCCTTGGATGCCTCTGCCTTATAACATTTGCTCTTCCAAGGAGTGAAAACGGAATTGCTTTGTGCTGCTCTGCCTTGTCCACGCTTTAACAGCCGACGCTGGGATGGGGGGCAGCAACGCGGTAGGTTGAGAGATTGGTTGGCTCTGTCTGCCTGTGGTGTGGCCAATCCGGAAGAGCACTTACTGTAGGTGATTCGTGCTGCCAGGAGCAAGGTGCCGCTGGGGAGATATGGCTTTGGGCACTTCGCAAGAATTCCTATTACCCGCTGGCACTTGGCTTGGAGGTTATCATCCGGGGCTCTGCTGATGCCGTAGCGTGCGCCAGCAGCTTGCTGGTGCCCCGCCTGTGCAATTTTTTTCGAGTTGGGTACCGCACTGCGTGATCCGTGACGGGTTGATTCTCTACTGGTCGTTCATCGTCTTAAAGCAAGGCCGTCGAGCTGGACCGCAGCTCTACTCAGGCAAGGCCTTTGCCGGCACAGCACATCATGTCCCATGCCCTGTGTGTGCATTTGCAATCATGGCTATCATTCAGTTGCGGACCATCTCTAGTGGTGATGTTTGCAAATGGTGTCAGATGGCAACCGTCAGCATTGTCAGCACTGTCAGTGCCTGAAATGAAATGGCCCACTTGTTGAGTGTGCGCATTGCGTGCACATTGTGAACATGAGCATCCCATTCCCTGAGCTGAGTCCTCAACAAAGTTGAAGCAGCCCTTCAGGCTCGGATCTGCGAAGCTTCTGTGGCTGAGTAGTGCAGCGGTCCTGTGCATCGATTTATGTAAGTGGAACCCAGGGTCTAGTCCAGGAAATGCGACCTGGCGACGTGTTGGGCCTGCAACTTGTGCCGGGCCAAGATCCACAAATGTGTGGCTGCACAGCTACATCTCAGAAGTAGTGATAACTACAAAGGTTTGAATAAGAAGAATGTACGGAAGAGAGTGAGCTCTTGTCCCGGACGGAATGGTGACAATCTTGGGCTGCGCGTTTGAGCTTGACTCACTCAGGCGTGGAAGCCATGGACACACATGGCTGTGCTCACGGGGAAAGTAAGTGTGGACTGCGACGGTTTCCACATTCCCGTCATCGAGTGCTGCTCTCAGCGTGTTTCCCAAACCCAGTGAAGAAACATGTCTCGTGGAATGTGGACGTGCTCATGTGGTTTCCTGCTGCTGCCAAGGCTGAGCAGTGCTGATGGTCTTTACCAGTCCACCAAAGTGGTGAGACTAGATGGTCGGCAGCTTCGCAGCTCGGAAGAGAGGATCGGAGGCGACAGCGAAGAAACGGACAACTTTGTGCGCGCCTCAGGCCCACGCCAAGCATTTCTGCTTCGTGTCGTTCGACCAAGGTCGTCCAACTTTACAAGGCCCCGGAGTCTTTGCATCGACGTGTTCGTGCAGAACCTACCCTCCACTCCCCTCACATCTGGAGTTACGCTCTCAGGTTGCTTTTCTGCGGCAGACGTTCTGGTTTACGTGTCGTGCTGCGTGGATTGCACCAGGCCCGATGCGTGTGGTCCTGCTGTGGCTCTTGTTACCGCCGTGCGGGCCTTGCAGCCGAAGGCACCTGATCCTGCTACAGATGGCTTCTTGCGCATACTGATGAGGCGTGACGATGTCCGCGTTAGAAGGAGAGCAGCGATGTGCTGCACTGAGCAGAGTGAGCGCCCTCAACTTGCGGACCCTCGGTGGACAGCATTTCAGGCAGCCGTACGGGCTATGCTCGTCACTTGTGGTTTCGTGGTGGCAAGCGGTAATGGACGTTGATGTCGTAGTTGCTGCCTCAGTGTTGATTCCTTGATCCGGTATTGTCGTTGCTTGCCACGCATTGTTGTTCCACTGTGCCTGCTGTATGCTCTCTGCCTGGAGAAAGTCAAACCTTTGACTTTCCAGTTTGCATGTTCTGGGGTTTCCAGAAGCAGGGGGGGACCACAGTATAGTATAGACTTGGGCTCTCAAAGAGAACCCCTCATTGCTGAGGATGGGCTTCTGGGGCCAGAATTCCCCAGAGTTTGAGAACATAAGAAGAATCAGAACGAGACTTGGAGTTCAAGTTCGAAGAACCTAGGTGAGCGAGGCCATAGAATGAGATTTGGAAACGTTTTGAAGTCGCTTAGGCTTCAAGAGCATCTCCAAAACGAGCGCTGACGTAACGTTTATCATGTTTGCTGCACAAAGCGTGGTGGCGGGGGTGGGGGGTGGGGCGGTGAGAAACTTTTGCCAGTAGCCTTGCCAGTAACCTTCAAACTTCAAGCTTTTCCACCTCAGCTTCCAAACTTCACAAGTCCCAAGCCTCCCCCTACCCCTCAACTTCCAAACTTCAAGTCCCAAGCCTCCCCTACCCTTCAACTTCCAAATTTTCATTCCCAAGGCTTCCCTACCCCTCAACTTCCAACCTTCAAGTCCCAAGCCTTCCAAACTTCAAGTCCCAAAGCTTCCCTACCCCTCAACCTCCAACTTCAAGTTGCAAGGCTCCCCTACCCTCCTTCAAGTCCCAAGGCTTCAAGTCGCAAGGCTTCCCTCACCTTCCAAACTTCAAGTCCCGAGGCTCCCCTAGCCCTCAACTTCCAAACTTCAAGTCCCAAACCTCCCGTCCCTATGTGCAAGAGATAATGCTAATAGAATGCAATTTTGCCCAATGCAGTTTCCTCTAACCTTTCGACATTTGCGTCTTGCAAATTGGTTTTGCAAGACGCAGACTACACGCGCAAACTATTGTAAGTTTTGCCGGAAGTGGGCCGCGCCTGCATTATCAAATCCTGTGCCACGTGATGGCGTTCGAAGGGTGTGCGCCCACTGTGGTTGCGATGAGATTCGTAGGTTTTTGCTTGCAGTGCTCAGGGTCACTTGCTTGGGCTTCTCATTCCTTCTGTTTACTTCGTGAGCTTTAGACATCAGTACAAAAGGCCCCCCAATAATTTGGAAGCGCCCCGTCCGGACATTTTTCAAAAACTGCGAAACGAGCGGAAACCTATTTTCTCCCACTCTTGCTTGTGCCTATAAAGGGCTTCGGTAAAGACACCTCTATACAACTGTACAAGGTACATGCTTTACCTAGAAAGTGGTGTGGGGTCAGCAACTTTCGCACACCCTCCTTAAAGCATGTGCCTCTTGCTGCTCCCCCGTTGGTCGCGCATTGGGCTCAAGATGCGTCACTCAATCTTGCCTTTAAAGCAATACTTGCAAACGGTGATACCTTGGACATCCGTGGCTTGGATCAGTCCGTGACACTTTGGATTTGCATGGAACTTTCGTCCCTTGCGACTCACATAGAGCTTTGCATCTGGGCACTTTTCACCCATGTAGATGAACACCTCTCGGTTTCCAAAATGGATACACTTACAGAGGCATGTGCACACCATCACTGAGAGCGTGATGATGTTCAGAACCACACTGACTACTACGAAGAGCAACCATTGGGTTCCGGTGTCACCCGGTCCATGAGGAATGAGATCCATGAGGTGACTCCCTCAGAGGCCGGTGTCTAGTAACAGCACTGACAAATTGCTTTATGTTCAGCTTTGAGCACTGCTGCGGCTGCCACTTTTTCCAAATGTTGACTGCTCCGATGGTTTGCATGCTGTTCTTTGTAACGTGCTTGTCAAGTCCTTGCTTGTCCAAGGTAACCAACCCGAGCATTTCGCGTGCTTCTTCCATCTCCTTTCCGGTTGTTAAGTGCTTCGTCAAAGCATTCGATGGGTTTTCCGTTCCTTTGATTTTCTGCACGATCACTCTTTTCTCTTTCACAAGCTCTTGAATGTAGAAATGTCCCAGATCAACATGTCGCATTTTCCCAACACCCAATCTCCGTGCAACTTGGATGGCTGCACTACTGTCACAAAACAGTCTTGGCACATCGATCGTCATGCCAAAGTCTTCCACACCTAAGTTCCGCACGAAAACTAGGTCCTGGGCGCACTGAGTTAGGGCTCTGACTTCTGCCTCTCCTGAGCTGGTCGCAGGAGTTCCTTGCTGACTCCGAGCAGAAGTTTCAACCACGGTCCCTCCTAGGACTATTGCCTGCCCACTGGTGCTCTTGCGGTCTTCTCTGTCACCTGCCCAGTCACTGTCGCAATACCCCTGCAGCGGAATCCCTGCAGCTGGTTCGAAGTCTTCACTCATCTTTGTCACATGTCCCACGTGCATGGTTCCCCTGAGATATCTACCTAACGTCTTGAGGTTTTGCATGTCACATTCCCTGGGATTCCTAATCCGCTTTGCAAGCTCCTTGCATGCGAATTTGATGTCGGGTCGATCCTGCGACAGGTAGGTAGCACTGCCTACACAGCTAGCGTAGATTTCTTTGGCTCTGCCCTCCAGAAGCTTGTCATCCTTTAGGTTGAGCTTCTTTCCCGGCACGGGGCTTGGCTTGGCGTCCTCTAGTCCTAGCATCCTAAGGATGTCAGTGGTATGCTTTTCGTTCGGCATCGTAACCACAGCTCCCTCCACCAGGATCTTCTTTCTGCCAAGAAATTCACTCGTGCTACTGCTTGCTGCGCCTGGCCATTCAAGCTCACCCACTTTTAGCTTGCATCCGCACTTCGGCAGCTGAACTTTCAGCAGGTCATCCAGCAACTCTGCCGGTCCACAAACGTCGAAATCGTCTATGTGGTGGATCAAAACGATCCCTGTTCGCACGCATCGAAAGACACATGCGTCTAGTGTCCCCCTGTGAAACTGATACACTCCCTTCGGGAGTTCCTTGGTCAAAATGGTTTCCAGACGATCTCTGTACTGCGCTGCCGCTGACTGCCTTCCATACAGATTTCCATCGACCTGCCATAGCACGCTTTCTTTCGGCACGTTCTTCATCTGCTCTTGCATTTCTGGGCTTGCTTTTGCGTACCACTCATCGTATTCCTCCAGCCATTCCTTTGGCGGCTTCATCATCACTGGTTGTCCTTTTGCATCTCCACCATCTTTCGCAATGAGGAAAGCTGAGCTAAGGTCGGCCTTGACTCTCGGCATCTTTGTCGTCAGCGAGTAAACCTCCAACAACTTCCTCGAGGTGGCGTGTGGCGTTGGACAGAAATTTGAAGGGTACTCTGAGTTGTGCTTCTCATTTGCTTCTTGCTTCTTCTTGAAGTCCTGGCATGTGAGTCGTGACTTTGCCACTCCTTCAGTGACCTTGTCAACCCACTTGTGGCCGAACACCGTCAGGTCCTTTGTTATCTGTCTCCCATCTCTCGGTGTGAAGGCACCGTACACCTCATTTAGCTTTCTCAGCTCTTCCTTTCTCGCTCTCCTCAACTCTTTCTCGTCAATCTGCAACGTGTCCAGGTAGTCCATGATGTTGCTCACCATTGTCTCGTTGAAGCAATCTTTGTTTTGCTTCAGCCACTTCTTGTACACACCCACATCTTCTTTTGGTAGGAGAGCACTACCCTCCAGCCAGGTCCCATGGTTACTCACGCTGTCCACCATGTTCTGCGCTACATCTCCCGGCACGCTTGGCACATACATGCTCGTGTCGAGACTGTCTGTGCCCATGCTGGCATCAGGCGTAGCAATGTTGAACTGCTGCGTGCTAGCTGCAGCATTCCCGGTGTCACCCGGCGGCCGACTGGCCTGCGCAGGCTCCACCCTTGCTCTCTGGCTCTTGCAACGCAGCTTTCTCACTTTCCTTTCCTGCATCGTCTGCTGCTCTTGGCGCCGGCATTGGCACCACTATCGTCTCTGGCTTGAAGTCGTAGGTCTCTGCAGGCTCCAACTCCGGAACTGCTACACCCTTGCTCTCAGACCGTTCTTGCACTACCTTGCTTGTTGCAATGCCCAAGTACCTGTTCCAAGGCACTCCCTTTGCCTTGTCGAGTATCGCCGCTTCATATCTTGCACTTTCTGGTAACCTCCTCACGGTGCGGCATGTCTGCACCCCTGACTCTGTAAGCACCAAGTGCTCATCTCCTGCAGCATTCTTTCCGGCATACACTCCGCGAATCCATCTTGGAGCTGCCTTGTCCTTTTGCTTCGGAAATTTTGCTAAGGACACCTGTCCGAAAGTCATCATCTCACCCACATAGTCAAACCCATTGATGACTCTGAACGCCGTTGTCT